TCATTTTCATAATGGAAAGGATATTTCTATTGGTTTCTGTAGGTTGTGTTAAAAAAAAAAGATGTGGACAATCGTTGAATAACTGAGAAAGCACATCTTTTTAGATACCACAAAAATGAAAGCCACAGGTAATATCAGAAAGAAAATTAAAAGTCAAAAAAGGATTTCCATAGGCCAAAATAGAGGATGTAGTCAAGTGAAATTTAACACAAATATTAGTTTGGTAAGGCTAAAAAGCTCATGACAACACCTTATAAGACTGAGGAGATTTTGGTTCACAAAAGTTAATATGCAAAAATATAAAATTAATTTGATCATAAACTGTAGTAACAATAACAGGAAAGTAAGACAGTAGTCTTACTTTCTCACTCTACTAATCACATGTGCAGTAATAGTCACATAACAGCATTCAGGATGTTCAAAATTATGATAAACAGGGCAGATATCTTTTTTATTTTCTTTGAGTTGGAGTCTCACTCTCACCCAGGCTGGAGTGCAGTGGCACACTCATGGCCACCACAGCCTCGACCTGCTGGGCTCAGGCCATCCCTCCAAGTAGCTGGAACTACAGGCCTGTGCCACCATGCCCAGAGAATTTTTTGGTTTATTGTAGAGATGAGGTCTCGCCAACTTGCCCAGGCTGTTTTCCAACACGTGGGCTCAAGTAATCCTCTCACCTTGGCCTTCCAAAGTGCTGGGATTATAGGCGTGAGCCACCACACCTGCCCTGGGAATATATCTTGATGCAATAGATGAGTGGTTGGGCTATAGATGACTTTAAAAAATCATTTCCAATCTGGAAATTCTTTGTCCAGAGCTTTACCGAGGGTTGTCCACAATTTCGGAAAAATAAATCATATCAATAATGGCAACACAGCATGAGTCTACAATGCACACACCTGTATAAGTGGCAGATAGACTTTCTAAATTATACAACGATTCTATTTACAAATAGATGCAAACATTTAATCTTCTTATGCTTTATGGCATAGCTGTGCCAGATCATTACCTACTGATAAGTTTTACTGTAACTTGCTTTCCTTTTATTTCTCCTTTATATTAGGACATTACATTGTATCTTTAAACAAAATTGTGGTACACGCGGGCTATATTTTATAGGAATTCACCCCAACATAGGAAGGGGACATTACAAATATTTGTTAAAATTCACTATCTCAATCAATAAATCACAAACTATTGATTTCACAGAAACAAGAAGTACAGATTGCAGGTTTACAAAAGTTGTCAAATGCTGCTTCAGACTGACTGGCTTTTGGTTTCGCTTACAAAAATAGCACTATAAACCGGGCTCGGTGGCTCAGCCTGTAATCCCCCGCCTTTGGGAGGCTGAGGTGAGTGAATTGCCTGAGGCCGCGGGTTCGAGACCCGCCTGG